AGCACTGTTGCGAGAGAAAGAAAAGAAAAGAGGTCGCTGAAAACTTGAACCAAATTGAGGCTGTTTATTTCACAGTTGACAAAAGGGCAGTTCGAGATCGCTACAACCTTCTCGCGAGAGAACTGAAGACCAAATCGAAAAAAGAGGAAAAAAAAAACAGGTGGCACTAGAGGAGTTTAGTGTGTTGTTTCTGTATTTTTGTATTTTGATGTCATTATTTCAAGTAAAAATAAAAAAAAAATCATATGGAGATTTCGGCTTCTTCAAGGTTTCATCGCATAGTAGAATAAATTTATCGTCGTCTATCACACCGTCTAAGTAGCTCTCCAGAAGAACGGTCCTAGCGTCTTTAAAGGTCGACATATTTGTTTGTGAAAGAAATATCGCCGTTGCCGTCCCAAGTGAAAATTGCTTGATCTTAAGTATTTTGTTTTTGGCGTGCACGACGGGGCTCGACCTAGTCTTCCCCATCCACCCCCGTCGCCGTCCTAGCTCCCCGTCCCCGTATCTTAAGGTCCCTAATATCCAAGTTAAGACGTGCAGTCGGTTAAACTGAAGTTTCAAACTTAACAGTGCAGTGATATTTAAACAAAATCAAAGAATGGAAAAAGCAGTGGTGTATTCACTGGGAAAATAAAACCAGCTACACTCTAGTAGCCCGAGCCATTCAGAGCATTTCAATGAGCGCAGAGATGTCCGAGCTTATGTAAATGAATAATGAAATTAACGTGCGCAGGCCCCGGGGCGCAGGCTTTGCACGGGAGTTTACGACGAGCGAGACAATGACAAGGGAGCGATCTCACGATTTTTGTCAGACACGTCCGCTAACGCGTCGGGTAGTATTCTCTATTTGTACGAGCGCATGAACGCCTGAAGATGCAAAATTAGTTTTTTGTGTAATACGTTATGGGTAGGAGAGAACAGGAAAATAGAAAGAGGAAGGGTGCAGCTAAATCTTGCCAGTCTCTCGATACAATTCAATGGGTCAGTAAACTACCCGGTCAAGAGCTATCAGACGCTGACAATGACAGTGCAGTCTGCGATGACAGCCCAGCTTAAACCACGACTTCAGATCTATCTCAGTTAACTACTGTTTTACAGCGAGATATAAACGGTAAATCATACTCATTTTCGCAATGTCCACCAGTCTTGATCCCATTATTATGCTCTGAGATTTAGTCGCTACACCCACGGAGGCTGGAGCTCGGAACTGTTCTGACGGATTAGTTCCGCAGTATTTTGATGTATCATTTTACATCGTAAAATTACTCCTTTATAACTAAATTCAAACAGTTGTATTCGAAAAATGTAATATTCAGTTCCTACCGTGTTCTTTGCCATTACAATTTCTCATGTATTGCTAGTTTCCTAAATAAACGGATCAGACGATAAAAAATACATTTCCGTAGTTGGGTCCGCTTTGGCCTCGTTAGCACCCCCCCCACATAAAATCCTGGTTACGGGCCTGTGATTTACTTTGTTGGGCACTAAGATAATATTAGGAAGATAAAGTTTTGTTTAATATTGAATACTGCTGCTCGAAACATTAGAGTACGGCTCTCATTCCAAAGAACGAGGACGAGGAATAAGAACGAGGAACTTTAAAACGTCAGACGGAGCGTTCGATAAGAAAAAGAGAATGAAAATCGAAAATGGAGGCTGTAAGGGCAGGAGCTTTTACAAATAGCACTATTAAACCACTGGGCACGCACACAATTGCTGTGTGTAACCGATTGTTATTTTATAGTAATTAAATGTACTGAATTCACCCTTTGCTTCACCTATTATAGAGATATATCGCGACGTATGTATATATAAAAATCAATCAGTGATTAATGCTAATAGACGTTGAATTACCTTACCTGTGGTATATAGGCCATTTGCACTTAAAGGTCATGTGACATCGTGTTTATGAAAATGAAAGTTACATGATTTTGCCTTCGAAAAACGATTAGTGGGTCATACCTTAAACAAAATAATAGTAATTTGGTTTTTCAAACCCGCACCATTTTCTTAAAATGAGTAAGTTCGTAGCTCGTCACGTGACCAAAATGTGATTTTTAAAATTAAGTATTACATCTTTCAGAACACAAATTTTGCACTTAAAGTTCAAGGGGAATGTTGAAAAGATGATGTCGTAACGTTTACAGCACATCTGAGCGTAACTATCAAACGTTTAACAAGATATAAGCAAAAAGTAGTTTTGGCCGCCATGTTGAATATCTTCCTTAAATGCGTTCCCTCTCAAATTTCGGGAGTAAGATAATTTTTATGTCCTCTGTCAATTTTTGGCATCAGCAAAAGGAAGCATTGGTCACGTGACCTCTTAGTGCAACTTGCCTATTGTCGTCGTTTTGCTTGTAACTGGTAAGAGCTTGGATAAGAAAATTCCAGGCAAGGCTCTCAAAATTGCATGTAACGGTAGCGAGATTCAACAAGTCACTTTACAGAAGCTACTTGGGGTAACATTAGACAGCCACCTAAATTTTACTGAACATATCGATGACCTTTGCAAGAAAGTGGCACAAAGGATTGCTGTACTTAAAAAGAGTCAGCGTAATTATTTGCCCCTCGCAGAGCGCAAGCTGTTTTTAACGCTTTGATTAAGCCCATAATGTTGTTTGGATCTTGCTCATGGACCACGGCGACCGAACAGAATGTGAAACGAGCATTTCAACTGCGAAGGCGGCAGCTCGCGTATAAATTTTAGATGCAAATATAAGATATATTTTAGACGGCTTGATTGGCTGCCGTTTAAGGACGAAGTAAACCTTCAAAAGCGTAGTTTAATATTTAGGCGCATAAGAAACGAAAATGAGTGCCCAGACTACATAACGAAACCATTTTAAAATACCTAGAAACTCAAATATCAGGAGTGATAGCAGAGCTAGCCGTTATGGAAGGTTTTAATGGTATGTCCATTACGGAAGGGGGGTGTACTTTTAGAGTTCGTGGAGCTAAGCTGTGGAATAGGATTCCTCTTGACATGCGAAAGAAGGACACCGCTGGCGCGTTTAAGAATGCTCTTAAAAAAACATTTTTTAGCCTAGTTCTTTGGGTATAATGTTTTCGCATTTTTATATTCTAGTGTGCATATCACTTTTCTTATCTTATAGTATTTTTAATTCGCTGTTTTTTAATAATAATAGAAATTTAATACGGAGGGCCACCAGTTCATTAGTTTTACTGTCATCTCTTTGATGTTTGATGTCCTTTTATCTTTTTATTCCACTGTACATATTACTTTTGCTTATCTTGTAGTATTTTTAAATCTTAATTCGTCGTGTTTGTTTTATTAGTTCTAAATATTTTGATTACGATTGAGGGCCACTAGTTCATCAGTTTTTACTGTCATGTACGACCCTCTAGTTACTTCCTTCCTTACTTAAAAGCAGTTTTTTAGCGATTTTGAAGGATTTTGAGTTCGCCGTTTCTGATTAGGTACAAGAATCCTGTTCCTAATCAGCCTGCCTAATGTACTGGATTCACTCCGATATATCGCTACGGGTGAAGCAAACAGTAAATCCAGTACATCTAATATACACAACAATCGGTTACACACCAGGTTACACACACAGATTGTGTGGCCTCCCTGTGATTAAATTCGGATGTGTAAATGCTAGAAAGATGGACACTTAAACAAAGGTTCTATCCATATTAGATAACTCCAGGACTGATTAACATGGACGTATACAAAACAAAGAGCCCTGGTCCATAGACCAGTTTAGTCTGATGAAGGAGGAACAACATTTGAGGGGAATGCAAGGATTGGCAGGGAGGAAGTAGTCTTCCCACAGAGTATTTTTTGTGTCATTGTGTTGCGTGATGACACAATAGCTGTGTGGGAGACTAGGGAGGAAATACAATACAATCTCTATTTGTACTCACTTTTGCTAACAATGGAAATATTAAGAGAATAAAAATATGAAAAGTAGAATTAGAGTACTAAAAAAAGGTAACTGCGTATGATGATATCTGTGTACCCTCCCCAGGCTTTCCTTCCCTTAATAAATAGCCCTTGGAAATGTTTATTCATCAGCAAACTTATTGAATCCTGCGTTTTGTATGGATCAAGGATGAGTGACTGACTGACTGACTGACTGAAATGACTGACATATTTGACTGACATTTTTGTAAACAGTATGGTTGTTGGACAGACGTGTGACCAGGTTTGCGGATATAACAGTTATATGCAGGTCGTTTTGAGCTTGATCTATTCAAAGAGTTGGCAGATGAATAAACGTTTCCATGGGCTATCAGGAAAAGGGAAGTCTTGAGAGGGTACATAAACAAACAACACAAAAAAATTACCATCGTAGGAGACGACTTCCTTCATATCTTTCCTCCCATCGTCTTCAAAGAATACTACTCCTTCACCAGACTAAACCGAGGTTCCCATGTATGAAATTCAAGAAAATTTGAACAGGTGTATAATATGAGGAGCCCATAGCCCTGATGGTATAAACGGACAGCAGTTTTGTTTTCAAATTTACAATTGCTATACAACATTATTGTTGCAAATTATAAAAAAGACAAGTCATCATAATACTGTATTTGAATAAGCTTCTTGCACAATCTGGAAATCAGAGGCTGTTAGTAAAATTCAGACTGGTCAGGAAGCCAACAATAATCTTTTTGGAACAAACCAGTTCACAGAGAGATTGTGATAGAAAGAAAAACAGCTTAAAGGTTTAATTAAGAATCAGGAGCATTTTGGTATTTTAGTTTTATTTCGATCAAAAACTAATACTACATAATGAACAGGTTGAATTAATAAAAACACCATTAGGTTAGAAGATGTTTCTAAACATCCAATTAATACCAAATTCTTGAGAAACAGTGCAAAGAATAATATAAAAGCAAATTTTTATCACAAAACATAATTTGACAGGAATTACAAGAGGGGCAGCATCTTTACATGCTCTTCTTGACATACTAACTTCTTTCACCCATATTGCACTCAATAATCAAGCACAAGCAAAGTTCAAGAAGTTTCTTCTTCACCACTTTATTATCTGATAGTCATCTGGTAAGCTTGGATCATCCTCCTATGGCAAAAAGAAAGGAAAAAATTACAATGACCTAATAGGTACTGGATATTTTTCTTGACAACAAAACCAAAACTTTCAACTAAACAATTATCACTGGTAGCTACACGTGTAACTGTGATGTAAGGAATAAGTACTCTGACTTACCTTAGCATGCTTGCAAAATCGTTGAGAAGGAATATGTCTGTAGGGTGGTACATAGCGTCTCTGATGTGAGAAAACAAGAAAGTTAAAGAATTAAAGTTAAAATACAGTGATTTGAAATATCAAAAGCTATTAAATAATGCCAGCACAATGAGGTAGCCAAAAACAGTTCTTTTATCATTTTTTTTTCTTGAAATGCGAGATTGAAAAAAGGTAAATGTACTGTCATCTTGGACTTGCTTTACTGAAAATGTACTTAGAATCTACAATATTATAACCTTTTTTGAATCAGTCAAATGGATTAATTTTGTAATCAACAAATTTTTAAAAGAAGAAATCAGCACAGACTGTCACATGATCTCTTTATGATGGTTAACCACATGGACTGTATGTTTGAGAGTATAGTCTAGTTTTTTAATTTTTCATAATGCTGAAAGTTATCATATGTGGCAAAGTTTAAGCAACAGAATTTAAATAGTCAGACTGACTTCATTTTTATATGACGGTCAACCAGTAAGTTATTTTTCCCACCACAATTATCCACTTTAATCCATGTGGTTTATCATTGAAGACTAAATCACATGACAGCCAACAATGAGTTTCACAAACAGGGATAATTCACGATATTAGAACTTAAGTCAATTGAAGGAATAATGCTGACAATTGTTCTTGACCTCCTTTTCCCTCTCCCTTACTATATTGGTCTTGAAATTAGGCAATTACACCGAAAAACAACAAAACAACATTGGAAAAGGGAAAGGCAGGTAACAGGGCAGTGTGATCCAAGTTGTGCATCCCTGGTTGTTGCTCTACAAGGGATGGCGAATGGTACGTCGAAAAACGTGGGTCTCGGAAAATTTTGGCAGGATCTCGAAATCTCGGAAGCGTTTTTGGTAAGTCTCGAAGTCTCGTTTTTGCATGGTTTGTTTTTACTTTTTTGAGTCTCGAAACTTTTTACCAAAGAGTCTCGGGTTCGGATTTCTAACTAGGGTCTCGGCGTCTCGGCGAGTCGCGGATTTTACCATTCGCCACCCGTTCTACACTCATTGTAATTAAAAAATAAGTAGAAGTCTTTCATAAACCTCTTCAGCTCGTATGTTTTGTTTTTCCAATAGAAAAATAATACTGAACCCTTTGTAATTTTGAAAGAGACTCAAGTTCCCTTACAGAAATCGGGACCAAGAAAATTCCCAGAATCTACCGGCAGCATATGCTCAATATCCCTACTACGCAAGTAGCAATCAGTACGTTCCAAAGGTGGCTTTGCATTCATGTAGTCCGACCAGCATTTCTCAAGCCGAATCGTCTAAGAAAAGTGACAGAAGTCAGAGAAGTAAATGCTCAAGCTGGGAAAAAATTGAAGTACGAAGCTTAATTACAAATCTGACAAGTCAATAGTTGACCTCAGGTAATTACTTGCAGTGTAGCCAGAAAATATAATGCAACCACAACCCAAGCCGATCCTGAGCCAAGCCAATTACCCCTTGGGAAACCTCCGGCAGGAGGTGTGTGTAACCGCAACTAATGTTGGCTTGACATGAAGTACTTGCCGACTTGTTTTGACATGAGATACTTACCGACATTTCAGACCATCGGCTTGAAAACGCCCCTCCTCGCATTGCCTTGCAACCTTTTTAATATATTTTGAATTTAATTCGCCTAACAAATTAATTGTGAAAAAATATTGTTTTCTCATATTCAGAGATGATACCAGTTTCTTTTTCCTTGTTATATTATGTTATGTTGTTATTTATTTTTTCTATTATAAATCACTTTGATTTTTTCACGTTCTGGGATGTTCCGGAATGTTCCAAGTTCTGGGTTTTATTGATGGTCAGATACTTCTGGCATAGGCGCTTGTGGAATTAACTTTTAAGCTGGCTAGATCGACTGAGCACCAAAATTTAAAAAATCCCTCTGATAGTCTCTATCAGCCTTTCTCTTCTATTTACAAATGCTCTCACAACCTTAACTACTACAGTTAAAAAATACTGTCGATTTCGAAATCTCCCAGATCGGCCAGGGATGCTTCAGCATGCTGGAAGAACTCCAATTTGCTTTTTTATACATATTCTTGCTCGGGTAATCTCTCCATATTTTACACATCTTTGCAAGGGTCTCAGATAGTAATCCTCTCCTTCTCCAAAATGCTGCAAGCACAAGGCTGCTGCCAGAGACAATATTTTGGGAGCCCTTCGGGCTCCTAAAATAAAAAGTTAGGAGCCCGAGATACATTTCTAGGAGCCCAATCAAAAAAGATCAGTAACTTTATTAACCCTTTGGTGACGGCCAGCGAATAGCGAAAAAAACCGCATTTTTCACCAATTCCTCTTCTTTGGACTAGTTTTCTATGAATTAGCATAAGAATGGCTAAAAATAGGTTTTGCAAGAAACAAGGCATATTTTTCGACTAATCTGACATAATTAAACCACTTTTTTGCGAATCTACTTCGATCTTTCTCTCTCACTCTCTTTTTTCCTTTGCCTTTCTTGCTTACTAGGAGTTTTTTCTTGCCCACTTTATCGTCCTTTTTTGCATGGAATTGTGGGTGGCTAACTTTTAAGGAAAGGGGCAAATTTAATCTTCAAAGAGTAGTATGTAAACAGCGCCTGATTGGCAGTGGATTTTTCCCCAAAATGTTACCTTTTTTGTGAGTGTAACTCTGACAGGATTGGTCAGCATATCCAAAACCAGGTATTACTGGAAAGATCTATCTTTGGAGAAGTTAATGTTTATCAATTTATACCCGGCGAGCAGAGGCCCTTCGATCTTCCTAGATAAGTTGGGAAGGTTTAAGGAGCGATGCGTGACAAAAAAAAACCAGGAACTCAAGCCTTGAACGAATCGAGTTTCGAGAAACCAGCATCTTTTATATTCACCTCTCGAAAGGATTTCGAGAAACACAACAGCAACCATTTGCAGAGAGCGAACGCACCGACCAACAGCACTTGCGTGTACAATTTAAGCAAAATTAAGTTTAAGTTTTTAGGTGATAAAAAAAGAGCAGCGAAAGGTTATTATCTAGAAGTTTGGAAAATCGACTCAGTATTTTTGTATCAAGTCTATCTTTTGAACTATCACAACTGTTTTTATATTTGTGAAGGTTTGTATAACGCCGTAAATAACAAGAGATTGAAACATGATCTTGAATAGCCGCTGTGAATCATTTTCAATGTCTGGAATATTTTTGCCAGCCTTTCAAAAGTTACAGCAAAAAATAGGGAGGCGTAGATAACGCTGAATAAATGGTAAAAGAAACCTCCGAGTGTACCGTTCATGTCCGTACCAAGCTCAAAAACGCTATAAACTTGCAATATTTTAATAATAGCAAGCCAATGTCATGTGTAATTTGAAACCAGCTTGCTTTTCCATGGATCGCGCCTTAATTTTATCAGTTTTTACTGCATGCAGTAGCAACCTAACGTTTCTATCGCTGAAGGAAAAGTCATGATTTTATTATAAAAGGTTTTTCTAAGACTATTAAATTCATTCAACACCATTTTCAGATGAGAAACTTCAACTGCTCTGCAGCGGAAGTCACAGAAGTGAATTTCCAGACATAGTGCTGTTTGTGTACCTTCTATTGGCAGAAGTATTATTTTGCATGTGGCTGACGATCAAACATTTTCCATTGCCATTTCAAAAGCGCAGAATGAGCAGCGAATTTTGTTGTTTGTTCACTGGAAGTTAGTCTGACAATCATAAGTTTAAGGTGCCCGTTCAAGCTCCCAGCTTGAAATTTTGGTTGCCTGAGGGTAAATAGTAGGAGCCTCAGGCTCCCGGGCTCCCATTTGGCAGCAGCCTCGTAAGCAGAGGATAAATTGCCGAATATCCTCCATCCACTAAGAGACACAAATCATGTTGCGCGGTATGTGAAGTTGTTTTCTGAACTCTACATTTGGTAATCATGCAAAAGATAGCCACCTGCAACAAACTGGAAATAACCTTGATTATCGACAACAGTATCAAAATTCAAAAAGTGGAATCCTCGATCTCTTCTACAAAACAACTGTTGTGCTCTTCGTAATGGCCAATTTATGTGAACAGAAAATGCATCAGTCATGCCCATAGCGTTGTATATAGTGCTCATACATAATAGGCAGTATACATGTAGTGGACAGGTTTTCACACACTGGGCTTGCAGATACACCAAAAATTTGACCAAGGCTGCTCCATTGGAAAAAAAGACGGATTCCCATTTTTGGATATTTTAGGGTATTTAAAGAATACCCATAAAAATCCCAAATTTGGCAAAGTGAGACAAGTCCCAACCAGGGAATTCCCAACCAAGTTCCCTGCCTGAGACTTGTCTCACTTTTCCAAATTTGGTATTTTTGTGGGTATTCTTTAAATACCCTAAAATATCCAAAAATGGAAATCTGTTATTTTTTCCTGTGCTCAAAGTTAAATATTGATGCAACCAAATGAACATCATAAGTACTCACTCAAAGATACTAAGTCTGAAGGGGCGAGTTCAATGTTCTCGGTGACGTGGAAGCCAACAATTTTGTACTCGCATCTCTATGTCATGCCCAATTCGTTCAACAACATTCCTAAGTCTTTTGAGCATCTCCCAAGTTAAAAATCAGAAATATTAGGGATTTACAGCCCGCATATTCCACACACTTGCATTGACATGTATAAATCCCTGATTGCCATCGTATTGACGTGGAAACTGTAGATATCGTGACATAAATACGCGGGGGGGAGGGGGGCACTCCTTATTTGGCCTATATGGGTATGTGCTGCTGAACAGGGTATGGTTTTCACGGTGTTGAGTCTTAAACAGGGTATACTATTTCACTATTGAGCGTCTTAAACAGGGTGTCTTTTTGGACTGCAGACTGGAAGCCTTTCAAAGAGTGTAAAGACTTGCAATGAGTGGTCTACATTTTGTAATACCAATAATTTTTTTCCTAAAAATCTCTTTCCACGATTTTAGTGTAAAAAATTACTTAATTCTGTAAGCAAAACAAAACAAATTAGGGTCAGAAAGTAGCGTCTCCTGTCTTAAACAGGGTAGTGAAATGAGCCATTTTTGTCTTAAACAGGGTTGGGATTTGAAGGCCTGGGTGGCACACCTCTACCTAGACTTCCCTTGAGTGCCCCCCCCGGCTATAAATAGCAGTACATTGCTAATAAAGCTCAGAAACGATGGAACCATAGTCTCTTGTTTGGATCAGGGAAAGGTTTGACACATGCACGTTGCACTTTTTTTGCATTAACGAGTTCTCTCAAAAAATATGCTAATTACACATGCTTCGGAAAAGCAAAGGCCTGTAAAAAACAGAAGATACAGAAAAACTCTATTTGGGAAACAAAACATACAAGCCAAATTAGAGGTCTATACTTCAATGCAACTTGGAGTTTCAATAATATGCATCACTGGGAAATTGTCTACATTCAACGGTTCTCTTAAACTATATGCACTTTACCTCTAAAGACCAGCTGATAATATGAACCGGTACACACAGTGCAAAAATAACACCAAATGCTATTGCTGTGTTCCTCTTCCAATTACGCGGATTACACCACCATCCACCGGAGGGAGACCACACGTACTTTGGATAATCAAACTTTTTTACACCTCCCTGTGCGATAGAGTGATTAATGTTAATTCTGAAACCTCCAAAGTTTTAAATGCTTATCAAAAATCGACGACTTCTTAAAAGAAAAGCTGCAAAACAATACCATTTCTCATCGGGTGATGTCGTTCAGCGCAATCATGTCTTCAATTCTTTGTAACCAGGCTTATCTTGTTTTCCCATGATGCATTGCGGGTGTCCACGCATGCCACTTCCCGCTAAGGAAAAACTTTCAAACTAAACATGGCGGAGATACCGGAATTGGTAGGTTTGCGTGATGTATAAAAATTAATTTCAGATTTTGTACGACAGTGAATTACGGCCAAATTTTGTAGACAGAGACAGAAATGTTTATTTTTTTCCTTCGTTTTTCGACAGTTCGCTTCCGGTGCCGATTTTTAAAGTTATAAGTGATGTTTACATCTCGAACACGAAATTCATATCTGTGTTTCAAATCGGAAGTAGACTTACGATGTTTGGTGTCTAACTCTTATTAAAAGTGTTCATTTGTTATCTCTATAGTCACCCAAGGCTCAAACAGACGATACAGGTAAGTCTTTTAGTGCCGTGGCTAGGCAAGCTTGTCGACTTCCAATAATATTAACTACACAAGCTAGATGCTTTTTTTCCATATTTAAGCTTAATGCATGCTTTGCCGGTCAAAACTTTAAACTTATATAAGCTTAAACTTCTCAGATGTTAGTTATTCTGTGACTTAAATTATAAAGTGACGTCTCTTGTCATGTCCTTTCGTGCACCTAGTCTTCATTCATCTTTATTTGCCTTTTTGCTTCGTTGCTCTTCAAAATTATTTGTAGGGGACTCGACAGACCAGGAATATGAAATCACTGCCGACATGATGGTTCACGATCTAGACGATGAAACAACTATGGAGGAGGAAGAACTTTTAGCAGATAAAGAAGAATTTAACGAAGATGAATTATCAGAGCTGCAAAAAGTAACACTTTTTAACGTTTTGCTCCTATACACGTATTTATCTGAAACTTATAAATCAATTTATAATTAATTGACGTACTTGAAGGGTCTGTTCTTTAACTACATGTATAGCTACAGGGTGGTTGTTATTTACAGTACCTCTCTTACTAGACATGTGTCTCATCTTGAGGGACAAATCTCTCTTTAGATGAGTCCTTTCTCAAGAGAATCACTGCACGGTTCACATTAGCGCTTGCTGATGTGAGTCTGTAACCTTGTCAGAGAAGTAGAAACTAAAGATCACTCTCCTGGAGTAAAAGTTTAATCTTTAGTGTCTGTAACTGATTGGTTTTGACCAGAAACTCCTAAGTGGTTAAAACATGTTACCCTTACATGTTTGCTTTGTCAGATGCTCATGAATATTAATTCTCGCAAATACCATATTTGGAACGAGAAGAAAAGATAACAGACCAATCAAACTTCGTAAACAATGTGAAGTATTTTCACTCCACTTTCCTGTGCCCGCTGTAGTCAACAGTTACTGGCACCGTTTAACGACTTATGCACAGACTCAAGCAAAACTAACTATGAGATAATGACTGGACAACCGACAATTTGAGTAAACAACTGTTTAACTGTGACACAGGCCATCTGATAGAGTGCGATAAAAAATCAGAAATTGTGCGATATTTTGAGGGTAGATTGTGCGCTAAGATAGGAATATTGTGCAATAAATTTTTCAGGGCTAATTTACATTGTTTTACCAGGTTTCAAACGAGAAAAACCACTTTAATGTTGTTTAACAGGCAATTTGAATGTAAAGGAATAATAAGACATCTATTTCAAAACAAAATAGTTAAATTTCTCCGATTATTTTGACCCAGAAAAGAAAAAGGACACTTGCTTAACATTACATGACGCCATTACACTGCTGACCACACTACTTGTCTCTGAAATCAAAATGGCTGCCTAGATACTGCGATCGAAGGTTTCAAATGCCTTGCAAGGCTTTCTTTCGTGGTAATCATCCTAAATAACATTAAGATTGGGAAAATGTTTAATTAAAGTTAGAATTCATTGTTTAATTTACTTGAATTTAGCATTTTTTTTCGAATTATGTGATTTTCTTCAAATTGTGTGATCGGATGCGATTTGAGGTCAATTGTGCGAAATCGCAGTATCGCGTAATATCAGATGCCCTGGTGACAATAGATGGATCAAAACACACCAATGACATCACGGCTTAACTGACAGATGACCAATAACATTGCAACTTAATTGACCAATCAAGTTAATAACCAGAGTTAAATAACATCAACTAAAGTGATACAACTTTGACTCTGAAGATGAATACAGCTGTACCATACAGGTTGTTGAAACATCAGTGACTGTCAACAACAGTCCTGTTCAGGATTACATTCACCCAGACGATCATACTCAACCTACTTATGATATTATTGTGATTCTATTCACATTCATTCTATTCCGGGAAATGTATTAGCAGAGCTGAAACTTAACTTCAGTGCTTAGTGGCCAGCCAGACCAGTTTCCTTGAATTCTTAATTGCCCAGGTCAACATTAAGTGGCCCTGGATTTCCAATATATTTAAAGGAAAGAGGAATGTACCTAGTCTTCGTGGACTCCCTTTCGTCCAGCTGTTTTGAAATGTTCGTGATCTTTTGTTTTTTTTTGTAATTTCTGTTCGAGTCCTGCCCATCCTCCTTATGTTGTGTTTTTTTTCATTGGAGGCAGCTCACAATCAGAGATAAATCTCCATATTTTACCAGTCTTTTCCAGTTGAATTAGTATTCCAAAGCTGCCAAGGAAGTGGCAGCGATAAAAGCAGACAGCAAAGTGCTATGTGTAAGACTTGAGTCACATGAGAAAAATCAAAATGGCATCTCACGGGTTGGTTTAATCCTTTTCTATTTAAAACAATAAAATGTTCATAGGACTTGGAAAAATTAGATGCAGGGCAAAGAAAGAAATGTAGTCCAACTAAACCACTTGTCATTTTATTTTTATTTTAAGTTCGTACTTGCAATCGTAATATAAGCTTATCAGACACGACTTTCTTTGCATGCTGGTAACACAGTCATTTGACTTGTATACTTTAGAGTACAGAATCAAAGCTGTGAGCCACAAGAATCAGAAAAAATTATGTTGTTAGTAAAATGTACATTAGATTTCTAATAAAGTTTTTGTTAATTTTTTGAAAATTATCTTTATCTAAACCTTATTTTGATAGACTAGGTGATAAGTTGACCTCAGAATATTTTTTCTTCAGAGAGTTCACTTGAGATAGTTTAAACTCCTGCTCACTACATTACAAGTTAAAACTACCTTGTTTCTTTTGTGGGAAATGGCATAAAGTAACTTGATTTTTGTGTGAAGTACCATGATTTTGTCAACCTGAAGATCAAACATAATATTATGTCATTGGTTTACCAGATATTTAGAATTAAAAGCTCATAAAGAATACTATTCAAATTTTTTCTTTACCAATTTTTTTGCTTATGTCCATGTTACCCCTTTGCTAAAATAATAAGTCGTGATGTCTTGATGATATGTTGTCAGAAACAGATGAATTGTTTCTTTGCATCCATATATGGACCAAACTTATGACTCGAGCAGTTTTAAAGGAAGCATGTAAATTTTCAAGAATAGACGATGAAACTATCAACACCTATGAATCAAATATACGTGTGATTTATATCAGAATAACTGTAGTCACGGTCTGAGCAACACCTGTGAAGCAGTCCAATCAGAGTTGACTTATCACTTTAAGCACTTTGCCGCGAGATAATGTACAGAGCGTGGGTGGACAGCTGACAAGTTTAGGAAGCGACTCTTTCAAACTGAAAAGATCTGTAACCTTGTCAGGTATTAAACCTAGGGTCCATTCAGTTGTCTTGGTGAAGTAGTGTTTACCCGGATCTGTATGGATGGGCTTGGAACTAGGATGTAGCACTCGATAAATGAGGAAGGATGGCGTAGTTGGTTAGTGCGTGGCCTTCAGAGCATGTGGTCCCAAGTTTAATCCCTGGTGAGATCACATTCTTGTTCATCTATTCTCATTTCTGTTTAGCTTTAACAAGCTTTAAATACATGGACCCTTAATACAAAGCATTGGCAGAGAGAGGGGGGTAAAATGAGCACACCATCAACCACAAGTTCGTCAACCTCTCCCTTTTTTGCCATCCATAATTTGTTGCTTTGAGGAGAGATTTTTAATGAGGAAAGCTGGTTTAATTTGTCTTTTCCATTAGCAAGGATTTTCATGCTGGTTCACTCATTCTTGAGTGAGCTTCAACCTTCGGCCTGTCCCCTCTCAACCTGCAGTTCAGGTGAGGCTATCCATATCCACAGTGCACATTAAAACATGCAAATGCTGCGTGGTGATCACTGTCTGTGGAGCTGGAAATTAGATCACAAGCTGGTATGGTTGCAGACACTGCCAGATGATTTGCAGCAATTTGCAGGGATCAATCAAGATTGATGATGCAGAGTCACCCAAGAAGGTTTCATGACATGCTGGTGCAGTTCAAAGCTTTGTCAAGCTGTGGGAGGACTTCAGCACATTGATGTTGACATCACCAGTCACATTATGACAAGCCAACTTAATTAAGCCACAGGGAGGTGATCGAGCAAGGCTTCAAGTCACCCCCCCTTCCTCCTGCCAGAGGGGGTTGTCCTCTCCAACCTACACGTATAGATCACACCAATAAGTGCCTTGTTATGATAATTCTCCCCCTGGAATCTTGGGCCACTAGTGTTTCATATTCAGCTGCCATGCTTCGATATCCTTCTCCTGTTAAAAGTGGACGGAATCATTAATTTAGGCCCCAACTCCAGGGCTATGAATCATGATTCTTAACGTAAACTGAGTAACCAAGCAACGCAATGAACTGAGAGTTGAAAAGAGCAGGATTTTCCTTAACTCAAATCTCACTCATAACAATGATACCCATTGGAAACTGTTGTACAGGGACTTGAATTTCATTGAAAGATCTAACCTTACTCTGAGTTTTAGATGCATTATTTTGAGGTGTTTTGGATGCTGTTGTAATGTGTTGAGAATCAGCTCAAGTTACTTATTCCATGCAAGGTGTCACTAATGAGCTGGACAGTGATACATCATAAAGGTTCCAGATTCCATTGACCAAAAATGAGCAAAGTAGAAAGCACACATTTGGAACATATCCACAGTCCCAAGGAGAATTGGGAGAGATGATCTTGCTACGGTTATATGAAACTTTTGGACATCAAACATGCTTAAGGTCTTTGCAAGTCACACGAACAAAGCTTTTTGCACACAGTGCACAATAAAGCTGGTGTTCTTTTTGGTCAAGATGATGAGAATGCCTGAAACTGAAGGGTAGATGTCCGGCCCTTTGCTTGTAACCCTCTTAATGGCATCACTGTAAGTTGTACCCTATTTTTCCGTAAACAGTGTATCTTACCGATAACATGAGATGGGTCAAATATACAACTAACTACTGCATTTTCCTTCATATTTATTTACTGAAAATGTCATGCAGAAAACATGAGAAAAGCCATCTCCATGACCCTAAATTTAAAAATGGTCTGGGGAAACATGCCCCCAAGTCCCCTAGTTTGGAGCCCCAAAGGCACTGTAACTTTTCTTCTTGTGTGTACACCTTCAAAATCTGACACTACACCGCTAGCGCTGCAGAGGTTAGAAGCTGTGACACAGTCATTGTTCTCAGGACTGGAATCTAATTTTAAAGTCAAATCTCCCTCTAAAATACAGTGAAATGAAGCAATTTTTGGCAGTTCTCCTGGCTAATAAGAGCGCAGGGACCTTGTCAGCTTTATTCTAGCCTTTCTGATTTGGCAGCGAGACAATGAGTGTTTTATTAATAGTGGAGTCCAGAGCATTTTAAGAAAACAAACACATCATCAAAAACATTCTTACACTGAGACAGCAGTAGCCCAGAAACAAGATCCATGTTTAGGTAGACAATTAAGTACACTGTATGTGTTCCAGGTTTTTACTTCCAAAGGAGCAATTAGTATGTGTAATCAAGAAAATGGTTAGAAACAACAAGAAAGATCCTGTTTTTTTTTTTTTTTAACTTAATACAATGAAAACAAACAGCGGGTTTTAAAGACCTAAAAGTAGGAGGGTGAGAGCGCAATATATTACAACCACTAGAATTGCTTATATTTACTGAAATACATAAGTCAATTCAATTTCTTTTGTTCATCTTTGATATTTTCTCACATAATTTTTAGAAGTATTATTGCTGCGGAGCGACCAAAGGGAGCGAGCAGCAACATAATCAGGATTTAAAGGAAATATATAAGGGGCGACAAATTCTCGAATTCATCACTTTTTACCACAGTGCATTGCATTTAACCACACTTTTTACCACAATGCATTGCATTTAACCAGAGTGCATTGCGCCACGAACAACTCAAATAAAAACACGGGGAAGTTCGGTGGGTGAGAGTGTATCGTTCGCTGCTTAGACTTAGAGTTTTCTTTGTGGCAAATTTTCTACAGCACGTTTAGAGGTCTTACCGAAGTTTAAGACACACAGGAGTCTTTCAGATGAGTACGATGGTTAACTTGGGGACTGGATTTCAATTCAAGAGCCTTTGACTTGTCCAGGTGTTAAACCTGACGAGAAGATGAGCATTTGCTCTTTGACTCCGCGACACGGGGGATATACAAATTCCAGCTTGCTAGAAGGTGATGTGAAAGTGAGAAAATGTCATGCAATGCTATTCTTAAGAAACTGTATGAGCCGAAAATGGATGTGATTTTGACATTCGCTTCAAAATAACAGCGGAAATCGAGATAACAAAGCATATGTTTTGTGTCCTACTTTGCAGACGAGGACATGTATCGGCGTTTTGAAAAGCATAATTATGTTCTTTCATTCATTCATTGCCATGGAAGATGCGTTTACATTGTTTTTTCACTGTTAATAGCTCGGTTTATGCGGCCGGCGATCATCTTGCCGGCGGAAGTTTCATGGAAAAGGAATAAAATGAAACACTTTTACTACAGATTACGTAATCAGTCACTGCGGTGTAGTGGTTAGGTGTAGTCGCGTCGAGTCGGAGGTGCCGGGTTCGAGTCCTGCCAAATTATTTATTCCTACTTTCTTTTTTTTTCTGTTTCTTTGTGTTGTTGTTTTCTATAAATATATAGCTAAATAACTGTTACTTAATAAGGTGCAACAAACAGCAAGAAAAGTGTTGTGTTTTGAGAGAAAATATTGTGCACCGTATATTAAATATATGGATAAACAATCTGAATTTCTATTATTTCCTACAATTTACTGTGGGAAAACCAGAGTTGATAACCAGTTGATCATTTTCTAAACAACGTTCCCACGAGTTCTTTCTATAGACTGATAGTTATTATTCTAGTACTTTCCAACATGTAAATAGGACATTCAATGTCATTTTCGATTCTTTTAAGTCTCACTGCCTAACTAATGCCAGTATCAACAGAATGTGCCGCAGCATTACTATCTTTTAGATATCCTAGTTAACATTTATTTTCACAAGGGAACTGCTTTTTACACACTTCTTTTTTGTTTCTTAACTTAATAATGGGAAAAAATGCAACAAATATTGCTTGCTTGTCGATAAAAAGACACTAGCCCAGCAGGTCGCTTCACTGTCCCTGGGCTATCAGACAGCGCTTTTGTCTAGCCATATGGTTTTGTGAATATGTGAAACTCCCTGTTTTTTCAACCAAAAGTCATTTCCCAGACACCATAATTTGATCCCGGATTTTTCAACCCTCCCCCCTTTTTTTCAAAACTCCCAATAATTCTACTTCCTTTCAAAAGTATACTTTTGATTTCTTGAACTTAGAAAATTTAAGAACCAACAAAAGCCAAATTTAGCCACACGCACTCTGAGGTAAGCATGCAGCAAATTCCAGGAAACATGATTTCAAGCACTTTTTATTACAAAGCAAGTTACATATTTGTAATTTAGGTCACAAAGAGGCTACCATGCCCTCAGTACACAATCATGAATCTTTTCAGACATCATAGAGAAGAGTTTTGGGTTGAAAAGAAGCAAGAATGATCACCTGTTATAAAGATTTGCCTCAAGGGGATTACTACTGCAATTTTTTTCTTGGTCTGCTGTTACAGTAAATGAAACGAAATGCAGTCTAAAGTCAGTGCAAGATTTGCACATACTATATATCAATGCAGCATTGGTTTTGTTTTGCCTAGTTGGCTTTAAATCTTAAAATAAAAAAACAAAGTTAGTAATCTACAAGGCGGAGTTGTTCAAAGCTGGGTTAAGATAACCCAGGGTTAGTGGAAGTTTTGAATTCAGATTTGGAAGCTTAAAAAGCATTTCAGTTTTAATTCTTTTTGTCTACTAGCTAGTTGATGATTGGAAGCTCTAAAAATAACAGAGAAAATTACCCAACAAAATGCTTTTGAACACAAGAAAAAGAAACCCGGGTTAAGTGCTAATCAGCTTTCGAACAGCCGGGCCCAGGGTGTTTCAAAAGTTCATTCCCATTTTTTATTCGTTTAAATTTCACTAATTATTAAAAAAAAACCTTTGCAAGACTTAGTGTGTTATTCATTATTCATTTAACATTGAATAACTAAAATATTAGTAACCAGAATCCCTTCCTGTATGTTTTCTGACATTTTCTAAGTGGTGAGGTATAGAATGTATGAGCTCCCAAAGCGTGCCCAAAGTCACATATTCTTCCAGGCGAAGCGTAGTCACTTACTGTCTTAGCTCGTCCAGTGTTTTGGGGGCTGGATCTTTGTATGTTGTCTTGTCTATGATAATCCAGATGGCAACCGGACCTCCTTTGGTATAAAGTTGGCAAATCCTTCTGACACCATGCTTACATGAAGTGTGCACTGCCTTTTTCTCTTCAAGGCTTTCCAACTTTTTTTGGTAACTTATCCCCATACAGTTATGCTCGATGTGCAGTTGAAATTTTTTTACCTTTCTGTTTTGTGGAATTATTACGCATATATTTACAGCTTTTTTGATAATATTTCTCACACAGTTTGTAAAAAACGGCCATCCTCACCTTGGTTTGTCTTCTTAGGTCTTTACTTTTGACCATTTGTTCGGTCATCGTTCAGACTTCTTCAACAATTTGGCAATTTGTTTTTGACTGAATGGCCAGAAGACCATAAAATAGATGCCTGAGCTCTAGCACAAACAGTGTAGGCCTTCATTTTCATGAAGGAGTAGAAAAAATAAAAGAAAACAATATGTATGATAAGTATGGCGGGAAAACCTCGCATACGTGTACTGTTGGGGACAAATTAAAAAAATATATAATTTCTTCAAATTTTAGTTTGAAATTGCTTTGAACGGTTATTTAGATAAATTTCTTACCTGGAGCAGCTGAAATTTGCCTATATAAAGAAGCATTAAAAGCTTGTGCAAAATACAATTTGCAATCGGAACGAACTTTTGAAACACCCTGTATATGACCACAGGCAGACCACCTTGTGTTTTCAGCATTACTGAATATCTAAAAATAAAGCAAAATGTGATTTGAATAAATGCTAAATTTGAACCAAAAAATATCTGTTGTATCAGATACATGTGATGTCATGAAATAAGATAAGAATAACAGTTGACGTTCAATTGTTGTTGTTGTTGTTGTTTTGTTCCTTATTTTTTCTTTTCTCTTTTATCTCTGTACTAGGAGAGGGATATGCCTTTAGAAGACTTGTTAGCTTTGTATGGATACACAGATAAAGATACCCCTGAAGGTGATGTTCCATTAGATGAAATCAAGCCTGATCCACTTCCACCTCTAATTGATGCTGGTGAGGTTGATTTGCCTCATCCAGGAAATCCTTTAATCGAAGAAAACCTTTTACCAGAGAACACAGATTCACCTGCCGCACCGTCTCCAGACTCTCCATTATCAGTACCATCACCAAGGTCTCCGCAGTCTCCTCCTTCACCCAGACCAAGCAGAGACAACAACTTCTTTCCTGAGAACCAAAGAATAACCAGAGGATGTGAGTGCTGCTCTTTCTCTCAAACTTCTTTTTTGTAATATTGTAGTTTCTCTGCTTAAATTAAAAAAATAGAATGTTATATGAATATAAAGGTAAGTGTAAGTTTTTACTTGTGTGTTAATGTTGTAAAACTGACTCTGAAGATGACTACCGCACAGGTTGTCGAAACGTCAGTCACTGTCAACAACAACAGTCCTATTCAGGACTATGTTCACCCGGACGATCAAACTCAACCTTTTGTTAATGTTGTGTTAACCATTTTATCTGTGGTTCAATATTGTTATATTTCCTTTTATTACAGTGCAAATTCTGTAACCAAGGCCACTGATTTGACCCTGCGGATTACAGGAAAATAACAATACATTTCAAGAAAGCTAGTTGTCAGTCATAACTACCATAAAACAAAAACAACATGGATCAAAATCAACCAATTACAACCTACAGGCTAGATGTGACCTTTTGAACTCGCTGAAGAAAGCTTGTGTTTCCTAAGAGATCCGTAAGCGTTAGACATATTTTTGTGTTGAGGTCGCATGTTATTTCAAAGCGCAGCAATGGTAGCAAAGAAATTGCCGGTAGATTACAAAAGACCAGCTTGTGCCAAACAAATCTCTCTCCTGAGTGTAAGATGTAAGGTTTCAGATAAGAAAACATTGTCTTGTGAAGCATTTTGCTCTCTTGAAAATGTTTGTGCTTCAATTAACTTATTGTTTTTATAAGCTGTCAAGGCTGCTGCCTAAGAAAATTTTTTGGGAGACCTTCGGGCTCCTGAAACAAAAAGTTAGGAGCCCGAGCCACATTTCTAGGAGCCCAATTAAAAAAAATCAGTAGCTTTATTAACCCTTTGGTGACAGGCAGCAAGTAGCAAAAAAAACGCACTTTTCACCAATTCCTTTTCTTTGGACTGGTTTTTGACTCGTTTTAGGTGTCAGGAGTGTTGTGTGACAAGACAAAACCAGAACAATACTTTAGCCTCAAACAAATAGAGTTTCGAAACGGGAAAGCAGAGTCTTGAGTTTCAAGAAACCAACATTTTTTATATTTGCCACTCAAAAGGATTTCGAGAAACAATTTATTTCTCAAGAAACATAACAATGACCACTCACACATACAGCGAAAGCACTGACCAACAGCACTCTCATGTTAAGTTGTTAGGCAACAAAAAAAGGACCAACGAAAGGCTTTTATCTGGAAGCTTGGAAAATTAACTCAGTATTTTTGTATCAAGTCTATCTTTGAACTATCAACTTTGAACTGTTTATTTATTTGTGAAGGTTTGTATTTATGTGCATTGCACTCAACTGTGTAAATTAAAAAGAGATTGAAATATGATCTTGAATAGCCACTTTCAAAAACTGAAATGTTTTTGCCAGTTTTTCAGAAGTTACCGCAAAACGTACAGCAAAAAATAGGGAGGCATAGATACAACGCCAAATAATGATAAAAGAAACCTCCAAGTGTACTGTTTGTGTTCCTACAATGTAGCAGTGCAAAAGTTAATAGCATACTGAAACCACCGATGTCACATGTAATTTGACACCAGCTCGCTTTTCCATGGATAGCGAATTTTTATCAGTTTTTACTTCATGCAGTAGCGACCTAGTGTATCTAACGCTGAAGGAAAAGTTGTGATTTTATTATCAAAGTTTTTTCGAGGACTATAAAATTCATTCAAGGCCATTTTCAGACGAGAAACTCCAACTGCTCTGCAGCTGAAGTCACGGAAGAGAATTTCAAGATATGGTCGTGTGTGTTTACCTTCTATCGGCACAAATTTTTTTATTACCTATGGCCGAAAATCAAACGTTTTCCGTTGTCAGTTCAAAGCGCAGAATGAACAGGGAATTTTGTTCTTTGTTCACTGGAAGTTAGCCTGAGAATCATAAGTCTTTGACACCTGTTTGGGCTCCCTTTTTGAAATTTTGGTTGCCCGAGGGTAAATCGTAGGTGCCTCTGGTGCCCAGGTGCCCATTAGGCAGCAGCCTTGAGCTGTTGAGTGGCCCATTCCTAACTTTCTTGGAATGTATTGTTATTTTACTGTAATCCAGCCCATTGATCAAATTTTTCTCAGTGGCCCCGGTTACAGTAGTCACACAGTAATAAATATGGGTTATCATATCTCAAGACAAAGAAAATTGAAAACACGACCAAAGATAAAATTGAACTTCAATATGTGATATGCAGTGCCTTTGGACACTATATCATGAACAAAAGTAGACTTAATTGTCTCTGGCAAAGCATATACATGTAACATTTGAGTTGTCGATGCCCAGTGCAGATTAAAATATTTACAACTATTATTTTGATCTTTGGTTTTATAACCGTAAGAGTAAAATCTTCCCCATATTTGCAACATTTTGTCATAAAAAATTGAAAATATTATTATGTAACAGGCGATCCAAAATCTGAAAGGATTTGTCTTTACTCAACAATCCTCTCACATCAGAAAAGACAGAAAAGGGGTGTCCCTTAACAAGAGATTAGACTGTGAAGTCTATATGTTGTGATTGAAGCTGTTTCTTTTATTTAATTTTTTAAACAAGTTTGGTTATTTGGTGATAGGTTTGGGTGTCTTGTGTGTCACATCATAATTTACATGGTGTGGTACCTCCGTAGTCGTACACTGTCCAAAGGTTTGTGATTGGTCTTGCTCCTAAAGGTTCTTCCATACAGGAACAGGTGAACAACTATGAGAACAAAAATACCCAAACCTATAAGGCCTCTGGTTAAATCTCACTGTACCATTTTCTCAGGGTCTGTGCAGCCTTGATTAAAATATGTTTACTGCACCATCATTCTCTAGCTTACCAGTATATGTCCTTCAGGTCTCCTCTGCAAAAGACGTTTGCTCAATCCCACAGGGCACACATCAATGTTGGGCTTGTGTTCCGTCTGGGGATCGAAATATGCGTAGATGATGTCTTAACTTAGCTGGATCTTGATTTCCTCAAAATACATTGGAGCTTTCTGGCTTCCACTCAAATTTTCTGGGCAGTAGCTCATTACATTTGCCAGCTGCTGTCTAATACTTTTGAGCTTCCATGAATTGTGATGTATATCTGATGATACACTGGAATGATTTAACTTTTGCTTCAGTTTCACAGCGTCCACCAGATTTAATGCTTACATATGTCTGGGAATATTTCATCTTTTCAAAAAATGAAGCTGTAGTAACCTCACAAACTTTGCTGAACTTTCATGTTGCTCAGTAGAATATCTATCCTGGTGGGAGAATAGTACTGATTCATTTAGCTTATTGACCATGTCGTCAGTCGTAAGGAGCTGTTTGTGTCTGTGTTGTATTGCCTGATTTGGCATACACAAGTCTATGATCTAGCATATTTGACTGTGACTTTTATTGGGGGTACACTCATCACATTGGCTCACTGACTTTTTCAATGATTGCTTGATTTATAAGCTGTTGGTGTGTGCTGAATTGTTTTCAGCATGGTGGCTG